AGAAGCTAAAAGATCAACAATATGCTACAAACAACATGACAAAGGCTGACATGCATAAAAGGGCTTGGACCCCGGTCATAACTGCTTTGCAGTTCTAGTTACTTTTTGATTTTTTACCTGGATTACTGAGATGCATCAGGACCCATTTAAAAAGCATTAACAGCACTTGAAGTTTGATAGAACCATTGTGGGTTTGCACAAAGCCTGGTGTTCAAATTGTGCAGTATACATCGCAGTCAAAGGCAGAAATCCTGGGGGGTCCGCATCCCTCTAATTTTGGGAAAACAGAGATTGTGTTTCCCAATAAAACATTTTAGGACAACATACTTTAAAGTAACACAACATGCACTATTTATAAAGGCAAAATCATGCATTTATCTCTTTTGAAAATTTGACTCAGATGTTGATGAGTTTTAAAAATTGGCATGTTCATTGTACAGCCAACAGGCTACAATCAATTTTTATTCCACCTTTTCAATTTGAGCTCAAAAGCGAAGACAGAGAGAAGAATGTGGAAATCTTGTTAATCTTGAAAATAATGAAAATTAGACAGACTGTGTCAAAATCTGCCTGGCCATTGCCTTCCTATGCAGTTCTGCTCAATTCTAGTTTCCCTTCACTGCTCCATCTGGGATTTCTCACAGACAAGGATTTCTTCAGGAGAATTTTGTTTGGACCAATCAGAGAACAGAAGGCGGAGTTTTGAACGACAATGTCGATTTTCTGCGCAGTGTCTGCTTGTGAGTTTAGCAATAGCAGTGGAGGAAGTAAATGAAGCCAGTCTGTGTTGATAAGGCTTCCAAAATAAGTTAGATTTGTCTGACAAAGCAGCAGCTCTCATTTACAGTCGTCTCGTTCGGCTCGGTACTTCTCTCCTCTCCGTTGGGTTGTTTACAGCACACACAATTTCCGGTTAGCTTCTTAGCTTAGCCTCCTTCACATTGGAGCTGGCGTACACATAAGTCACAGCCAGCCGATCCAGTCATTTTAAACTTCATCAGAGGCCACGCCTCCAATGCTTCTCTATAGCCGAGAGTCCAGACCCTTGTATGAAGCATAGCGAAGGACAAGGGGCTGGTTTTAACCAGGCTAGGGCATCACCAAAGATGCTAGGTGACATCTTTGTAAACAGTTGGCTGATGTCTGAGTCATTTTTTAATACTGATAAGTAGGCCTGTCGCAATAAACAATAAATTGTATGATAAATTAAATTGAGGAACATAAATTAAAATGAAGACAATAATTTTCATTTGCCTACTTTTTGTTTTCTTCATGTCTCCCTCCTTTCTACACCTTAGCATAGAGAGGAGTAAACTCTGGCATCAGGTATTTGCCAGGTGCATGGTCTCCTAACCTCTATAGCATAAGAGCCTGTGAACAGGCATTTAGCCAGAGGAGCATCTTCTGTTTTCTGATGCCTTCATAAAGCTGGTGATGCCTTGAGATTAGACAGTTGTTTTTTTTTTTTTTTTCTTTTTACACTACGTAAATTTTAATGTAAACTTCCTTAAACAGAGTGGTCATGTCATTATATTAGTTTAAACTAGTTTCCAACAATATTATCATTTATTGCAATAATTTCTGAAACAATTCATCATCCAGTAAAATTTGTTATTGTGACAGGCCTATGATTAAGTCCCATGGTGTGAAGAACAATATGGTATAATTCAGGTCCCCTCTTGAAGTGATTTGGGTGATGCTGACAGCACACGTCATTGACATCCTGTATGTGTTACCCATCTTAAAACAATACCTTGGTACAATCTTTCAACAACAACATGTGTGAGAGCACCTCAGCTTTGAATCAAAGCTGATCAGCCTTATCTCAAGGGTCAGCTTAAACAGCTTTAGGCTGACTTACCGAAAGAGAGAAAATAACAGTTGTATGCCAATGACAATCAATGACCATTATCTCCCAATAAATATCCAGCAAAAAACATCTTCTGTTGACAGGTTGCAACCTGATAATAATTAGCAACAACAACATGCTCTGCACATTAGCCACATAAAACTAACAGTAAGAAAACATAAGGGGAAAAAAAATCCTGATTAAGGTGATAAAAATGTGGTGTGTGAGCATCATGACATACAAACCCGTACAGGCAATACTTGGGCACATTTTATCTACCACTGCATGCTTACTGCTAAATTGAGGGCACAGTTTATAAACTGAGACAATGACTTTCAGTTCAAGCTCTATTTTTTTCCCAGAAGTTGCACTGTCTGGTAGGATTAGTACTGATGAAAATGCAGCCGCTAAAAGCTCATCCACAGTAAGGTCAAAACTTATCATGTAGATGTTTTCCTGAGCTTTTTTGGCTGTTTGGACTGAGTCTATTAAGCCCTTCACATTCAGCTGGCAGACCTGTGTTTTGCCCTCTCTCTTTTTGTCTTTCATAATTCTCTTCTAAAATATTGTTGTTTTTTGGACCTCATTGCCAGTTTTTCTTGATATCCACTCTTACAATGTTATGGCACTGTTTTGCACATTTCTACATTCTCTGACTCATTTTAGAAATGTCAATGTTTTAATCATGTTTATTTCTATTGAATTTATAATTGTGGCAATTATTAAAACGATAATGCATATGTTACTATGTAAATATGATATAATCCTATATATCTGTGTTTTTAAAATGTGTGAATTAAACTTAAATACTGTTTTATTTAATAATTAACTACATTTTTTTATTTGTCATATGTTAATGCTGTGTTTCTTCTATTTATCTTCTTTATGTTTGTTTCCTCCATTCAGGGCTGTGGTTCACATCCAGGTGAATGACGTCAACGAGTTCAGCCCCGTGTTTAGAGAGTCACTGTATAAGGCATCAGTAACTGAAGGCAAGATCTATGACAGCATTTTACAGGTATTTAAATATTAAATTATAGAGTTGGTGTCCTTTTAAAACATGCAGGACACAGACCTTAGATAAAAGTTCTTCAAATTACTGTTGATTTTTTTATGTTTCCCTTTGCTGAGGTATTATTGAAAGGACTGAACTGGATGTGTTTGGGCACAGGTGGAAGCTTGGGACCAGGACTGTTCACCACAATACAGTCAGATTTGCAACTATGAAATTGTCACTGCAGGAACACCTTTCGCCATTGACCGTAATGGTATGTGTGTGCACATGTTTACACTGTATGTTCATATGTTACACAGGGGTCTGGGTACATAGTAATGTTGACATTTGATAGAAAAGAAAATTCAGAGTCCAGAATTTTTTTGCACTTATGATTCATTTATTTGAAAATTATTGTATAAATGCACAAAAAAGTTCTTGAGTTGACAGTATTTGTTGCTTTGCACTGTATCAAGTCGTTTTCTTTTTAAAACATTTATTTGGAATTTTTTCTTAAAACATTTTTGTTTATGTTTGTAATTCTTCTTAAAGTTATTTGCTCTGTTTAACTATTATCATTGCTTAAAATAAAAATAGAATACAACACTAGTTATAAACACAAAAACTACACAGTGGTTCTGTCTGACTCTGTTTCTGTTTGCTTTTTATCAGATCGTACAGATGCACAAACTTTCTTCACAGTAACTTTTTTCTCAGGGTCATAATCATTTATTTTGTGTTATTGCTTTTTGATTTTTATCTCCACCTCTTTAGTATTGTATTTGACACAAGCCAGGCTGCTCTCCTCACTGGTTCGATAATCTTGTTTAGAAATAAAAAGTAAACCAAAAGTTATAGTAACATTCGCTTTGAAAATAAGAGTGATACAGGGAGATCAAAGTGGAGGATTGAAGTAGTATTTGAATGCTACAAAGTATATCTGCTGTTAAATGTCACCTTTTATTTAAAAACAAACTGAAGTGAATAAGAATTGTGTTCCATTTGATGTGAAGGCCAAACAGAGATGGTTCTTAACTCAGAATGTCAAGGCAGAGAGTGTCTTCAAAACAGAACATTCCTGTGCTTTGACCTGGTTATACACACCATCTTGTAGTAAATTTATTTCCCTTTTGAACCCCATAGATCACAGAGCTGAATCAAGATCGCTGATGATCTCTGTGAGGGATGGGACTCAGTGATCTGGTTTAAGATTTTGGTCCTCACAGGAAGATAGTCACACGTTTTAATCTTTGCTGAGGTTGTTCTGTGTGAATTTTACATATTTTCTGTGCTTGCCTGCTTGTTTCCTCGCACAGTTCCTTACCCAATGAGAGCTTGGATAAGCTCCTAAATGTGCCTATGTGTACTAGGAAAACTGATGGATGAGTAAAACACAGTAAATTTAACCATGCTACTGTAGACATTTCTCTTTCTTAACACCTTCAAACTAACAAACAGCTCTATCTGATACACAACTACATCACCTTTGGCCAGTGAAAGTCAGCAGAGGAGTTTTTATTGATTTTTTGTAGCATATTGTGGGTTTTTGATGTTTGATAAAGGTTTTATATTCATTTGTGTAAAAATGTATGTATGTATAAAAATGGAAAATCCCTGAATTAAGAACTGGGTGAAAATGATGACAGTTCAGTTAATAGAGCAAGGTAAAAAAAATATTGTTTCAGAACTGAAAAGAACTTAAAGGTAATCTTACATTTTACTTATTAAATAACAGAAATATGTTTTTTAAAAACCCTTTCCTTTTTTTTCACCTGCAGCTGAAACAGTGAGAGATTTTTGTCGGAGCCCGATTCCTCACTTGTCTTCTTTTGTCATGTCAGCTCGGTTGAAGTTTTATACTGCTGCACTCTGAGC